TGAAAAGTGAGCAACATTGGAGAAAGATGGACGCCATGTTTGAAGAAATATTAACAATTCCACCACAATGCTACAATACTTGGACATAAATATTGACAACATATTAATCTGAGGAACAAACACAAGCACAAAAATACAAAAAAGAAAAACGACGACAATCGTGCTATCCTCGGCAACAAAAACGAACAAAGAGTGACATCGACGAACGAGCAACGAACGCAACATGACAGCAATAGCAAGGTTCAGAGTAGTGATGGCGACCTAGCAATAATAGTGGCCTTCGAGTTCAGAGACAAACTGAGTAAAGCAGTGGACGGTGACATTGATTCGCAAAGGTGGGAAGAACAAAATTGTGAAGTGGTATCCTATGTTTCTTTCGCTAATGCAGACATATGACAATGATGTTGATGGACAAATTTATGATCACCAAAATATGATGCCACAAACTTGTTGAACAATCGGCAAGTATGACCGAATCGTTTCAAGTAATAAACTCGGTAAGTGATGGACAAATTTATGAACACCAAAATATGATGTCACAAACTTGTTTTTCAATCGGCAAGTATGACCGAATCGTTCAAGTAATAAACTTGGTAAGACCAAGTATCGTTCTTCCCAAAGGACTCACGGCCTAGTTTAGTTGTGTGGTTTATTGATTAGCTAAGACTTAAAGACGAAATATTTGGATTTTTATATGCAAAAGACGAAAATTAAATATGTATGCAAGAAGTTTTGATCAATGGCAAAAAGCAAAAGATAAACACTTTCAATGAAATATGAATATGTTGTTGGGGGTCAATTTCATCTTATCCACTCTCATATATTTTTGTCGAGGCCGAGCGCTCCTCTTGTGGCATCTGCAGGATGACACTCGGCCCCACGGTGGGCGCCAAAATGTTTCGGTATGGATGTTTTCCGGTGTGTCTTTGTTGCTTCTAAATGTCTAGGACGCTCGCTTCTCCTCAATTGTTGTCGTTTGCGCTCCTTCAGCTCGTAGCGCTCGTCTACTTTCACCAACGGAGGGGGGAAGTACCTGCGAAGATTCTCCGACGCTCAAGTCAGACATGAGTTATGGAGCCTCAGCTCTCAAGAAAGTGATTATATTATCACTATAGAATATTATCTAAAGTCCATCTGACGTAAGTGAAACCTACTTGGCGTTTGACTCTGTCATTGTATTTATAAATGTAAAATAAAAACAACCTTACCTAGAAATCTGGTTAGTTACTCATAAATATCTTAACCGCTTAAAATATCATCTTACTATAGAGAATGAATTAAGTTTATCTTTAATAATAAAATAAGATTAGGGTTAAATATGTTTTTGGTCCCTTAACTTTCAGTGAAAATTGGAATTAGTCCCTCTTTAAAACTTTGGACTAATTTAGTCCCCAAACTTTAGAAATGTGTGAATGTAGTCCTTTTAACCAAATTTTGTTAACTTTATTTGATGTTTCAAACACATTTATCAGTGAACATTGAAGCAAAAATGTGTCAAACGGGATAAACAACTCAAATGCTATCATGAAACGCACTTAAAACATCAAATAAACCTAACAAAATTTAGTTAAAAGGACTAAATTCATACATTTTTAAAGTTTAGGGACTAAATTAGGCCAAAGTTTTGAATAGGGACTAATTTCAATTTTCGCTGAAAGTTAAGGGACCAAAAACATATTTAACCCATAAGATTATGTGGAACTCTTTTATTATTTAGAGTTAAAAGAAAGAATTATAATATATTGATTCTAATGATGGTCGTCTTGCTAAAAATACAAACATCTAAGTTTATTTGAACAAGTTTACATCTAATATATATTATTAGATGTACTTTATCTTTAACTATTTTAGTAGTCTTTTATTATTATATTTATTAGTTATATGTAGAAAGAAAATTTTATGAATATTTAATGCGTACTTTATATACAGAGCGTATAACTATTTTTTTATTATTATTATTCTTGTATTTTTTTTATTGCTATTAATGAATGAGTCCGACAACATCTATGTTTTTCTTTAATGCATATGCATCCCTTCAGCTAAGGGCATACGTTTTATTAATGCATATGCATTCTTTAGAGTGAGATTAGAAGTTTCCTTATCCAACCATCAAGATACTTTCAATTTCATTTCACCATTCAAACAATTTAAAGAGGCGGAACAAAGAAATAATAAAACACAACCATGTCATATAATGATGTTGATAATTAAAATAAGGTAACTAACTATGTTTATAATAACATATAATAACATTCAATTCGGCTTTTAATGATTTGAACTTAATTTTTTACTCATAATTGTTGACACGTTAATTGTTACATTTTGAAAAAATAAACCTATGTTAATATCATCATCCAATCATTGCCAACTTTTTTGCTTTGTGTCCAGATGAAAGGAGCAACAATTTTCCACACTCTTCAAGCAATTTTTATATTATATTTATATATTTTAATTACAAAAATAATTATTCAACAAACCTTCGTATCTATCAATCTTTGACAGAATACAGTACACACGATAGATTATTGAAAACAAAAAGGGTCCAGAATTAAAATACTGTCGGCTCTTTAGAATTATTGAACTCAAACTCGTCCACCACTACTAAAATAAAATTTGATATTCATGTTGCCTACCTAATTATACCTTAATCCAAAACAGATATTTTACATTTGTCATGTTTCCTAAATAAAATATTATTTGCTCTTATAAAATGTTTCGACATATATACTTTACCGATATTTAATATTGGTGTTGCTACATAGTCATATCTTAGTCTAAAACAAAATCTATTACATTAGTTATGTTTCTTAAAAATTAGTAAAGCAAGATTGAATTATTTTCTCAAAAAAATAATTACACACATATACTTTATGACTTGAAGGTCTATGATCAAGACAAGGAAAAAAAGAAAGTAGATAGGAATGAAACTCTTATTTATTTTTGTGTCACCTAATTTAATATTGAGTTATTATTTAAGTTTTCTAACATTATTTGCATTTATAATTTCATTTTATTATTTTTATCGTTGTAATCGTATCACTTAGGTTCTATTTGTTTAAAAGTAATTTACTGTTGAAAAGAATTAACGAAAACAGATTGACAATTCAAAGTATTTTCAAGTAAAAGAAGGCAACAATGATTTGCGAGACATCTATTTTTTTGAATCACGGATGGTATGCAAATATTTGAACTGATTTTAATTAAATCTCATTTTTACTTTTTCACAATTTTAATAATTTCAACTTTCATACATAAAACATTATAATAAGTATACAGTGGAATTCAGTTTTAGTTTCGTTAATAATAATAATAATATTGGAATAAAAATAATCATAGATAATAAAATAATAATTTTGAATTTTTGACATTTCAGTTTTTAATTTTAATTGTTTATATTTTGATATTTTTTATGTTTCAAACAATATCTAAGCAAAATATTTTTTTATTAGATATGAATTATGTTTAAAAAGATATATTTTAAACATTATTATTTGATTTTACTTAAATATAAATTTATTTTATTTTCAAAATTAATTTAAATTTTTTTCTTCTTTATAATATTTTTTACAAAATAAATATATTATTAATAAATATCACTTATATTACTTTTATTAGTAAGGGTATTTTGATCATGTTTATTATAAATTAAAACATTTTTTTTTATCTTATATCTTCAAATCTTCCTCCAACTTTTACAAAGTTTACTTTCCAATTCACTCTTAATCATTTCCAAATCCATTAAAAAAACAACATTAAATTTGCTCTCAAATCCACGTGCTTTCTCTCCCTCGTATCCATCTCTTAAACACACCCTTAATGATATTTGTGTTGTCTTAAACATGCTTTTTTTTATATAAATTTAAAACCAACAATTAAAATATATTTAAAAGTTAACTTTATTATTGAAGTGTGTTTTAGTAATAAATTTACTAAATTATTAATTTCAACACTAAACTAGCATTTATCTTATTAAATTCAATCACTAATTTAATTTTATTAGTTAACTTTATAAATTTATTTATAATTAGTTATTCTAATAATCATTTAGGTTGATAATACTTATTCTAACTATTATATGTTAATAAATTAATTTTCAAACATTACATTTAAATTTATTGTTCATTTTATTTAAATAATTAATAATCTACTAATATTACAAAAAAAAAACTAAAACCCTTTCTAATAAAATAAATCAAATTTCAATTCATTAAAAAAAAAACAATTCAATATAATTAATTTTTAAACAATAATATACATACATACATCTTGATTTCACGTATATTTATTACACGTTATTTTTTTTTTCTTCTTATCACATCAGATATATATATATATATCTCTATTATATTTATCAAGTATATCAGCCTTTTTATATACACATAAATATATTTTTATAATTTTTCAGACAACTTTCAAAAAGAAAAGAAAAACGAAGAAGTACATACTTCGAATATTGGATAACCAACTTTTAAGGCTTTTTTGGGTTCTGTAGCTAAAAGGCACAAGATTTTGTTTCTGGAATTCTTTTTCGAATGGATTATTGAGGGAAAAATTAATAAAATAAAAATATTTTAAAAATAATGATAGAATTACTCATTTGACTTTTAAAACATTGTAATTATTTCTAAAAAAAACATTTTATAGGACAAGAAAAATAGAATTCGAATTTGATAGGAATAGAAAAAGAATTGCAACGTTACAAATTAATGTCCCTTCTCATAAAATTCTGGCACCACTTTGGTTTGGAATCTTTTATTAGGTTTTATTTGGATAGTATTTTATCTCTGTTTATATTTACGTTAAAAATTGTCAGTGAATATTCTTAAAAACGTGGGAAGAAATTTATATTTAGGGCTAAATTGTGGGTTCATTTTGTCGCATGGTGATTTTGAAGTTATATATTTTCCAATTTCTTTTGTCCTTTTCCTTCTTCTCCCCTCTTCCGCAGTGACGAGGGAGGGTGAGACTATTAACTAAAAGGTAAGATCTGTTTTAATGGCCCCAACCTCTCTTTATAAACCTTCCCACAACGCTCACTTCTCTCTATGGGAGATCATATCACCATGGGGGACAACGACCGCCAGACACAACCACTTCTCACGCCGCGACCAGACACAGCAGTCTTTACGGCGGAATCCGATGACATCGCTCCGATCGCCGGCGCCGCCGACTTCGCCAGAGAGTTCCTCGTCGAATCCAAAAAGCTCTGGTACCTCGGCGCCCCCGCCATCTTCACCTCCGTCTGCCAGTACTCCCTCGGCGCCATCACCCAAGTTTTCTCCGGCCACGTCAGCACCATCGCCCTCGCCGCCGTCTCCGTCGAAAACTCAGTCATCGCCGGCTTCTGCCTAGGCATCACGGTACCTAACAAAAACAGAAAATCTCACCGTCTCATTTACATACTGATTTGCTCCTAAAGTTTCCACTCAGTATTCATCTTCTTTTTTATTTTTTGGATACAACTTTTATATTAATTTCTTGACCATCTTTTGACTTCTTTCAATTTTTATGTAAACACTAAAATAGATTAAGAACACTGAAGATCCTTTACCCTAAATGATGTTGAATCCAATCTTTGTACTTTCCACTACGAAAATGGAAAAAAAAAAATGAGTAATAGATTCATCAACAGTATACGATCATGGTTTTACATACGTATACAACAAAAACAATTCTTTTATAATAATATGAAAAATAAACTATCTATATCTGTATAATTAATCTTTTAATTTCAATTTTTATTAACTTTCTATATTTTGTAATAATATTTTACTGAATTTATTTTTAAATGATTAATAGAATTAAATCATATAAACTAATTTTATTTATAATCTAATAGGAAAAGAGTAAAAATATAATTAGCACATTATTGATTGATTGATCGATTAATTAATGATGGAGTTTGGCACAGTTTGGAATGGGAAGCGCGTTGGAAACGCTGTGCGGGCAAGCATACGGGGCGGGGCAAGTGCACATGCTGGGGGTGTACATGCAGCGCTCGTGGGTGATTCTGAACGCCACGGCCATTCTGCTGACTCTGCTCTACGTCTTCGCGGCGCCGCTGCTGAGAGCGATAGGTCAGACGGCGGCGATTTCGGCGGCCGCAGGGGAGTTCGCGGTGTGGATGATTCCGCAGCTGTTCGCCTACGCCATGAACTACCCCATGCAGAAATTTCTCCAGGCGCAGAGCAGGATCATGGTGATGGCGTGGATCGCCGCGGCGGCGCTGGTGCTGCACATCGTGTTCAGCTGGCTTCTCATGCTGGAGCTCGGCTGGGGCATGGTGGGCGCCGCCGTGGTGCTGAACGCCTCGTGGTGGTTCATCGACGTAGGTCAGTTCGCGTATATACTGAGTGGGACCTGCGGGGAAGCGTGGTCTGGCTTCTCCCTTAAAGCCTTTCACAACCTTTGGGGTTTCGTTCGCCTCTCTCTTGCTTCTGCTGTCATGCTCTGGTTTCTCCTTCTCCTTTTTTTTTCTTTTTCAGTAACATATTAACCTAACAGATATAAAAATACTCTTTTTTTAAAAGCAATTCCAAGTTATATTTATTTTTTATTAAAAAACTGCTCAACCATTCAAATATAATATATATATATATATATATATATATAACTGTGGTTGAAAAGTTACATAATTAAGGGGTTATCACAGTTACACTGTTTTATTTAAAATTTAAAGCAATTAATATTTTTAGTGGAGAACTTTTTAATATTTCCATTTTACTGACAGATGTTGTAAGAAATAAATTGAAGGGAGTGCTGTAAATATCAACTTTACAGCTTGTTAAGGGTTGGTGAAGTTGTAATTACCAAATGAGTGCCATCAAAAAGAAAACAAAAGTTAAAATATATATTATTAAAACACTAGTATATAAGTAATATTTTGAGATACACAATTTTTTTTACATTCATTCAATATTATTGCTTTTTTATTTTATTTTTTAAAAAATATAAAAAATTACTTTTTTATTATTATTATCCTTTCGTGTATTAAGTAAATATAAATGTATTTTCTCTCTTTCTTTACGAAACAGATATTTTGTTGAAGAATTTTTTTGACCCGATCCAAATGACCGCTGTTTTCTTATTTGTGTCTGTAATATTCTGCATGAAAAACTTATCATTCATGTTCCTTATCATGTTATTGTGGTCTCCTTCACACCTCAACCAGCCATCCTAGATTGTCTTCCTCGTTTTCTACGTCGACAATAGCGTCTTTGGATTTTCTGTTTCTCTGTCGTACTTGTTCTCAGTTTTTGATTTTTCTATTTACAAAAATTTAAAATTAGATTGAATAAAAATAAAAAATGAAAACAACATGTGGATCTCGCCTATATTAAATAAACTTATTTTTTTAACTCCCGTCTGTTGTTTTCCTTTCGGCTTTTTCATTTGTACTAGACAGCAGTGAGTGTGTGGAAGAATCAATTAACGAAAATAATTTGCATAAAAATAAATTAATTTTGTAGAAAATAAGTGTTTAATTAAATAACGTGAAGTAATTAAAAGGACATATTAATGTTTTATTAAATCATAAATAGGTGTTAAATAAACTATTTTTGGTTTTTAATAAGTTAATTTGGTTGAATGTGCAGCCTGGAAGTGTGGTACTTTATGGCCCTGATTCTCTTCGCCGGATATCTGAAAAATGCGGAAGTTTCGGTTGATGCGCTGTCCATCTGGTGAGTGATTCACGAACGATGCTGCTTGTGAAATTTAAAATGAAGAAAAATATTAGCTTTTTTAAGAAAAACATGCAAGCGTATTTTAGCAGTGGTAATAATTGTTTATTAATATAATATATTTGTTTAGCATATATTGGATGAAAACCAATCTGAACAGCAATACCATATATGGTGTTATTAGTAAGATGGTGCACATATTAATTAGCGGAACGTGTACAGGCTGTGCATTTCGTGTCCAATAAATATATGGGAAAGTTTTCTTTTTCATCGAGATGTGTAGATAGCTAGATCACATGAATATGATGAATCCACATAAAAGAAATGGCAGCCGGCGGCGCTGTTCAAAATGATGACTTCCACTGATGATATTTTTTTATTTAATAATTAAAAGTTGAAGTTGCATGGAATTTAAAAATGAATGTGCAGTGGATCTGAATCCAATCCATATGCACATTCATCGAGTGCCACTTTCACAAGTTTAATTTGACTTGTACTCCTCCTTAAATGGTTTGTCTTACTCCTGTTTCGGACAAAGGATTAGTTGTACGTGCTTTTCCCTCATGTTTGTGGAAATAATTTATTAGATTTTTATGGTAGGTACACCAAAAATATTAACATAAAACTGCTTAATTTAATTTTGTATTTAGTAAATCGTTATTGACATCTGTAAGTAGGTGTGTTTATTCAGAAGTTGTGTTATAATAACTTTTATCCGACCGCTGTGTCACTGTCGTCTTCTATTAAGACTTTGGAAAGCCATCTTTGGAAACGTATTAAGTTTGTCTTCTGCTTCAGTTTCATGGAATATTGACGTGGCGTTTACTGAATTTGCAGCATGAACATATTGGGATGGACCATCATGGTGTCCTTTGGATTGAACGCAGCTGTAAGGTTTGTTGCTTCCCTTTTCCTACCTACCTACCTACCTAACCATTTTCATCACTGCAATTTAATGATATTTATTTATTTTATGTATTTATAACTAATTAATTTATTCAAAAACATAGTATCGTTGGAATGACACCTCCTTTACAAACAGTCAAACCTTGGAATATAAAAAAAATAAAAGCATCAAATTCAAAACAAAGTCATTAACTTAATGACAACTTAACTAAATTCCTAATCAGTAAATGGATTATAGAAGTACATGATTTTAGTTTAAAAAATATATAACTAGAGTAAGAGAGAGAAAGTTTGGAAAAAGTGAGAAGCTTTGGGGTAACTGGTTGACATAAACTTGCAGTGTGAGAGTGTCAAACGAATTAGGTGCATCTCACCCTCGAACAGCAAAGTTTTCACTTCTTGTGGCTGTGATTACTTCGACTCTGATCGGTGTGACGCTGTCGCTGGTTCTGATAATATTCCGGAATGAGTATCCATTTTTGTTCTCGAACGATTCGGCAGTGAGAGAGATGGTGGTGGAGCTGACACCCTTGTTGGCCATTTGCATTGTGATCAACAACGTGCAGCCAGTTCTCTCAGGGGTTGCTGTCGGTGCAGGATGGCAGGCTGCGGTTGCCTACGTAAATATAGCTTGTTACTACCTCTTCGGCATTCCTCTAGGTCTTCTTTTGGGCTACAAGCTTGAAATGGGTGTCACCGTGAGCCTTCTTCTTCACCTTCCCTTCATTATTTACTTTTTCTTTTCATCTTTTTTCATGCAGTAATGGATTTCTTTATGGGTTGTTTCAGGGGATTTGGTCTGGAATGCTCTCGGGGACAGTCTTACAAACTTCTGTTCTATTCTTCATGGTCTATAGAACTGATTGGAATAAAGAGGTAATACATGTTTTTCGTTGTGTTTGTTGCAAATGAAAACCGATTTGGTGATGCTTATGATTAAGATTATCGGTGTCAATTATGGCAGGCATCCCTTGCAGAAGATAGGATAAAGCAGTGGGGTGGGGATGAAGATTCAAGAGGGAAGAATGATCAAGAAACATGAATTTTTGCAAATTCTTGAACCAGATTGTATCTGATTTTATTTCAACAAACATTGTTTTCTTTCTGTAGGGTCAGTGGATGTCAATCATCCATTCATTTTTGTTCTCAATAAAGGGTGATGCTAGATTCTGTCTCATCAATCTTTCTAATGTTTTATAAAACGAGTATTAAAAATAATAAGTAGAACGATTTAATGACATAATAAATAGGAGGGTTTTTTGTGAAGAGGACATGATTTAGAACTATTTTTATAGACTCAATTTAAAAACTACCAGGATTTATATGAATGGATTTAGCTTCGCCACAAACAGGGAATTCCCATTCGTGGGGTGAAATGCATTGTTTATGTATTTTCTTTTCCAAAAGCTTGTTAGACATGAATTTTGCTAAGGCCAATTAACTTTTTAATCATTATTATTACATACGTTATTCTTTTTTATGTCACAAGATTACTATAAAAAGTAAGTTGTACGTCGTTATTAAACCAATTTGTACACTAATTAAAATTAATTTACATCGTAAAATTAGCTTTTTATGGGTATAATATAGGTTTAATCATTTCAGAGGTCCCTATTTTTGCATAATCATTTTAAATAGGTCATCGTATTTTATTTGATCTCAATTAGGTCTCTCTTTTTGTAAAATTGACTCAATTAGAACCTTGTCATTAATTGGACTGGAAAGGGTTAAAATTTTTCTAATGGCTTACTGACTACAAATTTTTATTGATATGGTACAGTGTGGTCACCTTAGGTAGAATTTATTTTATTTTAAGTTTTAAATAAGTTAAATTTAATAAAAACTCAACGTTTATTTATTGTTTGAAATGAAAATAAAATGTATTAGGGATAACTTAGGGATTTTGTGTTTTGATTGTTGAGTGTGTGCGAAATTAGGTAAAATAGGGAAAATTAGGATTTTATGTGGCTTGGTTGTTCTGGTTCAAAATTGGGGAAAAATAGGGTTATAGTTAGAAATTATGTAATGATCTAATGATCATAAGAATGTTGAAAGATCAACTCAAGAACAATGAAAATAGAACAATCGATGACTATAATGAAGTTTGAAAGGAGGTAGTAGAAGAGGAGACATATATCCCTAACGCAAGAAATCTGAAATCAAAGGCCAAAATTTTTCAAATGAAACTATGCAATCTCAACAAGGTACTTATGAAATCAATCTTCTCAGGGACTCTTGGATGAGGGATTCACATGTCTGAGAGCTTCCCACACCGCACTCTTACACTTGAATCCATTCCCAAGCGCAATCTTCCACACTTTGCTCCCCTTTCTCATCCGCCCCTTCACCTCCGTGTAAGCCAACTCGTAGCAAATTGAACTCAACGAGGTGTTCCCAAATTTGTACAGCATCATTCTCGAAGCCTCCACGTGCAGGCAGAAGCTGCAAATTCTTCTCCAATTCATTTATAATAGCCCTCCCATCAACATGAATGCAAAAATGGTCAAATGCAAGCTTGAAATCAGGGATGTAAGACTTCATCTTGGCATTGAAAACATTGAGTTTTGATTAAATTTAACTTATTTAAAACTTAAAATAAAATAAATTTAACCTAAGGCGATCATACTGTGTCATGTCACTAAAAATTGCGCAGTCAACAAGCCAACATACAAAAATTTTAACATCGTCCAGTTTAATTAACACAAGGTTCTAATTGAATCAATTTCACAAAAACAGGAACCTAATTGAGATCAAATAAAATACGATAACCTATTTAAGATAATTCTACAAAATAGGACTTCTGCAATTATTAAACCTATAATATCATAATTAATTTAATTTCAATAAAAAATAACTTTAAAAAGATAACTTTTATAGTTAGATATACGACTTAAACGAATATCTGTTACGTTTTTGTGAAATACATAATTGTTTACTTTATGTTATGCTTGTGAAGTCACACCTAATAATAAGGTTAAACCCCTTTAGTTATCTTTATTTATGTGGATTTTTCATATTTTAATCCCCGTTTTATTAGAATTTCCAATTGAATCCTAAAAAATGCTAATTTGAATCAATTAGACCCCTACCGTTAAATTAGCTTAACGGAGTTAAATTGTTTATGACCTGGAAGTTGACATGACTAATTTGTTAAATGTGTCATTCATGTAACCTAACTCCTCAAACAAATCTCCTACCTTGCCGAGAAGGCTTCCATCCCAGGACCCTCCTTCATCGTGCCCTTCCTAGGAAACGCAATCTCATTGGTTCGCAATCCAACCAACTTCTGGGACCTTCAGTCCTCTTTGACAAAGTCCACCCCTTCGGCAACTTCATCATTTTCATCAAAGACACCGAACTCTCCCACAAGGTCTTTGCCAATGCCAGGCCCAGTGCTTTCCACTTGGTGGGCCACCCCTTCGGCAAGAAGTTATTCAACGAACACAACCTCATCTACATGATGGGTCAAGAACACAAGAATCTCCACCGTCGCATCGCCCCCAACTGCACCCCAATGCCCCCTCCACCTACACTACCCTCCAGTAGTTTATCATCCTCGATCACCTCAAGTCCTGGGTTGCCAAAGCAATTAAACCATTATAAAATACATATTATTAAATAATAGCAGAGTTGTTCTTTGTTATTGAATATTGACATAGTTAACGAGATATAGAAGAGACCGAAACTGAGAATGTGAATGACTTTAACTAAAAATACAAGACGTGATAAATACGATTACAAGGGAAAATGAAATTAATTGATCATGAAATTAAGGAAACGTTGAAGGGAAAACTCAAAGGAGTTTGAAATGGGAACATGTAGCATTGTGGAGTAAAAGGGAGGAGCTAAAACCAAATCTTGAGGAAGCAAGATCAAACTCCAAAAGATTGTCCTCCATCAGATACCCACCGATAACAACATAAGTTGTTATGGGACTTCCAGGCTCCAAACCTACATCCACAAACCCAAGGCATTGCACCGTTTTGTTAACCTTCACCATAGAATTTGCCCCATGGATTCTCCACTCAACCCCACCTCCAAGGACTAGATCTATTGCTGGCACATTCCCAACCGTTCTCGAACTGAAGCACGTCCTAAATGGCGCCACCGAGGTCATTCTCTTCATTTTCCTAAGCGCTGCTTTCTTCATGAAACCATCCACCAGAGGCCGATAGATTGAACTGTGCAACCTGCTGTAAGGAATAACGGTGCTCAGTTTTGTGCCCATGTTTCCCAGTTTGTCAATAGACAACACAGAGCTGTTAACATTGATAGTTTTCCCGTCAAGCCCAAATTTGTTCATCTATGGACCGGCTCATCGAAACGCTGGCCACCTGCACTGAGATGAGCAAAACCAGGATGCAGAAAAGGGAAGAGCCTTCGTGTCTGATTGACTGCTGGGTGCAGGAAACACTCAGGGAAATCGAGGAGGCCAAGCTCACCGGAGAGTCGGTGACATCGTTCTCCACCGACTTCGAGATTGGTGGTACCTCTTCTATTTTCTCTTTGCGGCGCAGGACGAGTCCACGTCGTCGCTGCTGTGGGTGGTGGCCCGTGAGGTAGTGAGGTTTCGGCCGTCGGCGACGCTAGTGCCGCAAATCGCGGCGGAGAGGTTCGCCCTGACAGAGTCGTACACGATACCAAAGGGGACGGTCGTGTTCCCGTCGACGTTTCAACGGTTCCACCCGGAGCGGTTCTCGGAGAAGAGACAGGAGGACCAAGTATTTGAAAACGTTACTATTTTTAAAATGTTAAATACTGTAAAATTTCCACGTATAAAACTACATGAATGACACGTTTGAAAAAACTTAACCCTGTTAAGCTAATTTAACAGCAGGGGTTCAATTGGTTCAAATTAGCACTTTTTAGAACTCAATTGGAAATTCTAATAAAACGAGATCAAAATGGAAAAAACCCACATAAATAGGGACAACTAAACGAGTTTAACCTAATAATAATGCAGAAACCACATCATATCCAAGGGTTGGTTTTGCAAAAAAAAAAAAAAATTAGAGTTGAGGATGATTTAGCAAAAACATTCGGTACCAATAATAAATTCCTAATGTTTATTTATTCATTGACACCTTTTACTAAAGTTGCGTTAGTGTGTTTTTCACATAGGCCTTGCGTTTGGTCTTATAGAAAGGCCGAACGGACCCAAATTTTGAATAATGAAAATAAGGTTATTTCTTCTTGTATCTTCATAATTTCTAAGTGTAGTCCATAATTGTTAAAATGATAGTTTATTCTTTATAAAAGTAACTTTTGTTATCATTTATTTTAAAAATTTATGAAACTAGTTTTTATATTCTTCAAAATAAGATTTATGAAACAAGTTTTCTGGAATACATAAAATACATTTTGGAACGAGCTTTATAAAATAGAATTTTCAGAACAAATGTTTCGAGACTTAGATGATGTTTTCTAAAATTAGATTTTCGGAACATAAATTATAAATGACTCTTTCCTTCCTCTCAGAGTGCAATGGACAACGGAGGTGCAAAGGTGATGACGCAGCAGCACGAATGAGAGAAGAGGCTACAGTAGCAACAACGACAGCTCCAGCAACATAATGACATGGTGCAATGAGGGAGGATATTTTAGTCTTTTTATTATTACAATGGGATGCAGTTAGTAACAAAGGGGGTACATAAAGAAAAAGTTTGAAAATAAAACTAAAGTTGTATTTTAAAGGCACAGGGTTTAATAAGAAATCCATTATGTATGAAATCCATTATGTTACATTGTGTATGAAATCCATTCTAGTTTTTTTTTTCAATATAATTTTTCTTTTATTTTTATGTTCGTTCTCACCTATTTCTCTGTAGCCAACCCCCTTATTTTTGGATTCTGTCTCTTATATGTTTCTTCTTTCGTTTTCTCTTTTTTCAGTTCTATTATTTCTTATCCATCATTAGTGTGACAGGTTGGATATAAATTGTTCTTTGTATCTCTTCTGACATTTAATGGCATACCAAGGTTTCTCACAAAACTGAAGACAATCATGTACACTAAAATAATGTTTTTATTAAAAAAAAAACTGATTCCTAGGATGTCCACTAAAATAATATTTTAACCCATAAAAGATGGGCGAGTACTTGTTGTATGAACTTGACATGTTAAGGATGTGAGTGAATCTTCCTGCACCTCTCTCACCTCAGCCTGCACTCCCAAATT